TGATCGGGATTTTGAGGACCAGTTTCAAGCGCTAGTAGTCGCCGACTTTTCCCAAGGCGAATGGAAGGGAACTATCGTGCTAAATGGCGTCTCTTTGGGCATGCCTTTAAGCACAATTGATGGGCTCAGATGTTTTGGCCCAAGCACCTGTGGCCAAAGGGTCAGGTGCTTTGGCGCTAAATGATCATGATATCCGTATTCTTCCTGGTCCAATTATCTTGGGCGCAATTGTCCAGATAAATTGCTGAACGTCCCATATGGGGTTGTTGATAACTTTGATTTCGAATGTAACATCCAGTTATAAGGACTAGTGTGAGGTTGAGGTTGAGGTTTGAGGTGACTTTTCAATAAGGTAAGGGGATCGAGAGAAAATTGTTGTGCTAAATGGCACCGGCGCTGAAATAGATGCCATGTTTGTGGAAAGGGTTACAGGGTGGTCGGAAACTTTATGTTAAGGTTCGCAACGAATTTCGTGGGAAGCTACAGCCGGCTGGCACGGGTCTATCGAATTAGTCGTGATCATTATTGGAATGAGTTGCTAATTCGTTATTAGGACTATTAGTTATCCTTGTAGGTGAAGTTTCAGCGAAGGTTTGCTCCCCTCCCCCCCCTGGAGGCATTAGAGGGCTCTAGAGGTCGTTATAATGCAACAGTGCCAAAATTGTTTGGAAATGGGTTTTATCTTTTTTTTCTATATCTCCCTTTCAATTCGTATATCTTTATTGGCTTGCATAGAATACAGCCTCAAGTAACTACAGTAAATATTCAGGGTTTCACGGGAAAACAAGGAACATTTCATGGACAACAAATGATTGATTATGGGACGAAAGTCGTCGGTGGTGTGTCACCGAACAAGGTATGGCACCATGCTTGAATTGTTTAGTTGTTTTGTTGGATTAATTTCAATTTTCAATTTATTACATGCTCTTCACATGTGTAAAACCAAACATTTAAAATGAACAACAACAAAAACGTGAAAAACAAAAATGCTGCATAGATAAACAATGTAGTACGGAAAAAGGCTAATGTGTTGTAAAGCAACAGACTTATTCAGAGTGATTCAGATAAAGAGATACCGCTTTCTTGAATTTAGAGAAAGAAGCTGGGATAGCAAGACCCTTACTCATTTTCACATACTCCATTCCTGCTCGGAACGTGAAAAACCTGCGCCCAACCGAAGAGTGGGGCTGCCGAAATACAAGCTTGAGTTTCTCTCCCCTAGGAATCTACGGTCACGTAACAGCTTTTGCAAGTTATAAGTAGTAATGGGAAATTCCTTCATAGTAATGTTATGAGCGAAATCTTTTTTGCTCGAATATTAATCATTTTGGGATTTCTGTTGGTTCGTGGTTACTGGTTTGTTCAAGGAGAGGATTTGTGTATCTAGGCTGGAACGGAGCATCTGGGCTTGCCAGTATTCAAAACAGTGGCAGAGGCAAAAGAGGCGACTGGATGCGATGCTACGGTCATCTATGTTCCATATAAGGCAGCTGGAAAGGCTATTGAAGAAGCTATGGAAGCCGAGGTACGTCTAGTCTTTTGAAGGTTAATGCCACATCCTACTGGTAAATAGGTATTTTGATTCTATTTCATTTAAGGCGCATTCATAGTCGGTCGTCCGATGGAAGCGATCGTAACGATAGCACAGCGTTACATACGTATCGATCGTTGTATTAGCGCATCGGACAATCATACGCATCCAATGCTGTGCGATTTACGGTCGTTACGATCGACGACCGACTATAAATGCGCCCTGAAGAGGGGTGCTGCGATGCGTGAACTACTGCAATGCCTGTTTTGCTGAATGACTCCCTTAAACTTACGAGCTGCTAGTGGATTCATTCCTACGTCATTTCTTTTCTTGGGTGTTGGACGGGTTTTCATTCAGTGCGGTGCGCAGACGTAATTCTGGTTCAGGGGCTGAGCCCCCCCCCTTTGGAGGGCTAAGCCTGGAAGAGGGTGGTACTTCGAATAAAATGGAAGCCGCTGGCGCCTCTTTCCCCATATATGTGGTTATGTCCTCAATTTTTATAATAAAATTCTTGGGGTGGTTCTGAGCGCGTATCTCATCGGCAGCCCCATTGTTATAAAATAGAATAGCTATACCCTCGTTCTTCGCATTCTGGCGTATATGCCTTCTTCGAACCCAAATTCAATTACTCGAATGGTTTCTGCTTCTTTTGTAATGGCGAAGATTTACCTACGTTCTCAAGCTTCAGTCTTCTATACTTTTTGTGAATTAAGAAAGGAACATTGGAACTCAGAAAACTGTGCTCCACGGATTTGTTGAGTTATCAAAGCCCTATATAAGGTCTTTCTAATCGTTGAGCTGATTTCTGCAAAAAGATTACTGTTCAACACAGAATTACAAAAATTCAACAATATTGGCTTTTAGGTCGGTCTCATTGTTTGCATTAGTGAAGGAGTTCCTCAGCATGATATGGTGTACGCGAAAAGTCGACTTTGAAGCAGAGTGAGTGAAGATGGTATCAGATGTGTTATCATGCTTGGGTTTTCACCATTGCAATTAATTCCCGGTAACTAGTTTTTCTCTTGCAGATAAATCTCGGCTGGTAGGTCCTAATTGTCCGGGAATCATCAAATCGGACGAGTGTAAAATCGGTATCATGCCTGGTGGAATCCACAAGAAGGGTTGCATAGGTTAGTTTGCTATTCCAGTTGATGGGAACCGCGAAATTTTTGAAGTTTTGTATCTTTGTACTAGTATGATGCTGCTTTCGTGTGAATGAATTTTTTTTTTTTTTGGCCAAATGTCGCTTTTAGGGGTTTGCGTTGATGTTTAACAGCTCCGCTGTTCTTACATCTTTCTAATGAGCTCATATCTACGTGAGGTGTGGTTCACTACTACAGAAAGCGACTTTTTCGCGTTTCGCAGCGCAGAAGTTTTTGCTGTGGGAACTCGGGTCCACCAATGATTAGCGGTGGAACTGGGATTCCCGCAGCGAAGAATATTCCGCGCTGCGAAAACGCGACAAATTCGCTTTCTGCCGTTGCTTGCACACCGTCAATCTGTGCCGCTTAGCTGCTCGGGCTCAGCCCATCTCTGACCTCATTGTTATGTGTCATATACTCACATAGGTTATGTCGACGTCAATATACAATAAGTAAACACAAGGCCTACGATCTACGGAGTTGACGTTCCGTTTTACGCTCTGTGTCGTATGACCTTCTCCCTATCATTTTGCTCTCATTGGTCTTCGGAAAAGGCTGAAGGAAATGGAGTTAGTAGACTAGCGAGGGCTACTCCGCATGGAGCCAAATCTCAATCATAATCCGACTCGCCACGATTTATTGTGGGTGTCAATTCTGGAGCCGTTGGCGTTTGGGAGGTGCCAACCGTGAGTGTCGATTTTGATGGGTGTAACGAGACGCGCTAATTGAGAGCGCCGATAAAACGGTGCGGGCGGGGCTGCAAACTACGGCGTAATTGAATCACTGCATCGCAGGCACTAATCGCTTTCGAGGGAAATTCTTCAGCGTATTTCCTCTACCATTGTGTTATTTCAAGATTTGGTTGCTTATTTTTAATGACTGCATCCTTTTTCGAAAGCGGCGACGTTCCCTGCATTTTGATGGATGACTTGTTTTGATATACGCTTGCACGCAAGCATAACAGGTTTGTAAATTATGCAACGTCAGAGATTTTTCTTGCGTCGTGAGCGTCCTTAATAGATAATATGCATATTTTTTATAACGAATGCTGTGGAATGTGAGGACCTCTGTATGCTATACGAAGTTATTACGACCATCAGCAAAATTTTATACTCATTAGCAAAGAGTAGCTGATAATTTCTGATCAACCTAATTGTAGCTGGTCACTAGGGCTCAACGTATTTTCCTTTCAAGAAACGGAAAGAGCGTCGAAGGCAGACCATACACCATAAGTGACGACGGCCGCCACTAATCTGCCAATAAAGTGATAGTCTGTTGCAGTTGTGTTCTATAGTTACCACTTCTTCTTCTTCTTCTTCTTATTCTTCAGCGTTTGTCCCGCTTGTTGGCGGGGTCCGCTTTTCTGATATGCTGACGCCACTTTTCCCGATTAAATGCTTGGTCGGGGTGGATGTTAACCGACTTCAAGTCTGCGTGCAACGTATCGAGCCAGTGGTGATGTCCGTTCCTCCAAGGGGTGCCACTGGGAACCTGCTCACTTTTGTGAGCTGAGCTGAACACGGACATTCGAATGCAGGCGACAGGCCCCCGTGACAGGCCGGCCTACGAACACCCACGTCACATCACAAATGTCATGTCGCCTAAGTGTATAACTTACAACTATCATTCACCAAAAACCAGCTATCACTATGAATCACTACTAACCAGATTTCCTTGGATCCCGTGACACTTGTGGTGTATGGTCTGCACGTCACTGCGGTGTGTTGTCTGCACTCGACGCGCTTCAGGTTTTCTGAAGCAGAATATGATGAGAATGTTCGCTGCTTTTGTGAGCCTAGTAGATAAATGACGATGATATAATAGTCGCTCTGAAGTCGCTCTTGGGAATACTGAATAATTTTACAGTGATGTAGTGTCTCGATCGCGGGACTTGATATGAGGACTGTACATCAAGACAAAGCATCAGGCTGGCATGGGCAAGACTGGTGCTTGGTATAGACGTGATCCCTTCAATGGCACCAATTTCATTGATTGTTTGGAAGTGTTTTTCGCTGACAAGAGTACTAGAGGTTTGTAACATTTGACATCCCTTCGTTGAATAGCTCAGGTTGAATTTTTGTCTTAGGAGTGATTTTGATTGGAGAAATTGGTGGAACAGCAGAAGAACAAGCAGCGCATCAATCAAGATAGGTGAAAGCTGGCGAGCAAACAGTTTGTCGTTTCATCGTGGTGTTACGGACCTCACAGGGCAGACGAATGGTCACGCGGAGCAATTATACGAAGTTATACGAGGTATGTGGCATTGAGGTTATAGCAATAGCGGCGACTGTTGTCATCAGCCCCGTGAGCACTGGAACCCATTTTTCTATTTCTAGGTCTAGCAGGCGACAAAATAGAAGCTCTCAAATCAGCTGGTGTCCACGTAGTGGACTCACCTGCACATCTTGGGGTAACCATGGCCAAATCACTAATCCATGGCGCCTATGGCGCTCGTTAAGTTTGGTCTATGATTCCACTCCATACCTTTCCTAATGAAGTTATTACGGAGTATATACGATATTTAAGTTATTTCCGTTAAGACTTCTGCTCTTTACTTACTTATATATAGCGAGCTAACAAGACAGGTAGTAACGGTGTAGCTTTATTCGTTTATTAAATATACTTGTTAATTATTATAATTGAATGTCTCTTTCTTCCGATCTCAACTACTGCGGTTACTGTAGTATGGATGCATTCATTTTTTTTGTGATTTGTGTGGTCCGCTAGGTACCATAGGATTACGATTGTCTTACGTAGGTTAATTGTCCTTAAAGCTGTACAGTAATTTATTGTGCTGTCAAATGTTAGTACTGTGAATTATAGAAATACCTAGGTAGCTGAGAGAATGCTGTGTGTATGACCACGATATGTCCTGCTTTGTGCAGAATAAAGTACTAACGAATTATTCAGTGTTTGTGGTGTAAGCAGTTCTTCAAAGTGACTGTTCATGATTTTTTTGTTGGAGGCAGTCAAAGCGAAATGGTGATCGGTTTGGCTACTTTTCTTTAAGGTCAGTGATTACGGATGGCGGTGCGGCTTGATGCGTCCTCGGTGTCACTGAGGAAGACTTCAGCGGCACTTTATGGAATGCGATTAAGCATGCCTTCGTAATGCCTTTCATTCATCCAGATTGGTCCGGCAACCACCGGGACCTCCTTACCTGCGTAAGCTTTACTCCTTCCAATGTGCTCCCATCCACTGGTGACATGGACACCTCGTGGAGGTGGCACGCATGCACAAAAAAGTGTCTTATATAGTAGAAGGCATTACCGTAATCGTGACATGACCTTAGAATGATATTAATTGGACCTCAGGTCTTTTGGCGGTTAGCTCCCCTCGCCCTTCTCCATCTCCCTCTACTGCTCTCCAGCTGCTATTGCAGCATCATGTGGAATGAATGAGACCATGCTCAGTAGGTGTTTATATAGCCGTTGGGGTGTTATCACATTGATAGCACTGCAAAACATTGATTGCTAAAGTCATAGTTACTCGATTTTGTTAACGGTCTGTTTACTTCACGAGTTTCCCTACCACTTCATTTTGCGGACGGACACACATACATACATACATACATACATACATACATACATACATACATACATACATACATACATACACACACATACAGACATACAAACCGACACACAAAGTTAGCGCTTTATAAAATAGAAGGATTTATTCAATAACTTCAAATCGCAACTTTCATGCCATTTCGTAATGATTACCCCTTGGAGTCGATTTCAGCCCAAGGCAACCTTTATAGGCGATAGTGGCAGCTGGTCCCGTCCAGCTTCCGCAGCCGGGTCCCCTTACAGCTTGAGTCATCCTCTTGACGGTCTAACTTACTGTAAATGAGTTGACGTCTGAGAGTCTAAGAATTAGAGGAAGTATATGTGGCGCCGTTATCATTCGAGCGATCACCGCTTTAACACCTCGGAGCCCATGCAGCCCATATGTGGGCTGCATTTCCGTCGAGCGCGTAGGACCTTGCAGCCCATATCTTGGAAACGATTACTGAGTTTCTATTTTATTTTTCTCCCCATATCATTCGATAAGGTTTCTTCTGCATCTACAGTCGAGATCCGTAAGTTGGGGTAGGCGTGTCACCGGAAGTGACGTGGACTTGATAGAAGTTGCGTAGATAAGTCGTTGCCAGCATGCTTTGCTGATATCTCGCGATGTATATTGGAAGCCCCTTATCCACATAGATTCTATCAAGTACACGTCACTTCCGGTGACACGCCTACCCCAACTTACGGATCTCGAGTACACTCTGTATCGGAGGACGGGAAGAAAATCGGCGGCACACAACACACCGTAAGTGACGGCGGCGATGAAAAAAATTGACAATTGACCACTGACGAGGACATCGATCGATCGCTGTTGTATTCTACTGATTATCAGATAATCAGTAGAATACAACAGCGATCGATCGATGTCCTCGTCAGTGGTCAATTGTCAATTTTTTTCATCGCCGCCGTCACTTACGGTGTGTTGTGTGCCGCCGATTTTCTTCCCGTCCTCCGATACAGAGTGTATATGTATCTTTAATTCGCTTGATAACGGGCCTAAAAATGTCACTGAAGCTCTCGCGCGGTCGGCAAAAAACGTAGAAACGTGCGCGGTTCGATCCACGTCGTGAATTTGATGCTGTTATTGCGTTGTTGATGGCATCATACACAATGGGAGCCACGGTTGCAAAAGGTTGACATCACTAGCTAACCGTGGAACCTAATGTAGCAGTTAAGTGTCCAACAAGTGTGGAAGTGGGCGTGCCTAACAATCGGCTGCAATCCCCTCACCCGATTGTTAAGCACGTGAAGCGCTAGAAAGGACAAACACGCAGACCGTACCTACCACCATACACTTCACGGTGATAACCACGCCCACTTCGAAGCTGTTCAGCTCCCTTTCTAGCGCTTTCCAAGGTGAGTTTTTTGTTCAGTCACACTTTTATGTTCTTGACTAGGCTAGCGCATCGTTCCACACCATTAGTGTCGAAGGTAAAAACCCTGCTGGGACTGTTGCTTCAAGGTTACATCCAGCGGTACCGCAATATTATAGTTGCCTCGATTTCCTCTCCAGACAAAGGACAGGGTACGAAAGCATCTTCCAACGTAATAGGCCCCACAACCACAACAAGGAGACCATCAGCTGGACATGGGATTTTTGAATTCACACAGTCTCACTGTAGGCCCGAACTTTCTGATGTTTCTTTATTAAATACAACAACAAGTACAAGAGAAAACATAATCAGCTATCAGTGTTCTGAATTCGGCAACTAGGCACCCACAGTGCTGTCGCAGAATCTCGTCATCACATGATGTCCCACTCGAACGCTCAGATTCTAAACGTTATATTATCATTGTGGGGCGACTTCTATCGAATCGTGGACGTGTAGCCAAGTCACTCGGCGACGTCGCGCGTTGACTTTCCGTCACATACTCCAAGGTGTGCGGCATTGTGTGCGTTCGCGCGGGACTGGTTCGCGACATGCAAATCACAATCCATGCACATGAATAGAAAAATTACTCACGGTGTAACCTTTCAGGTTCACTATGTGTTGTATACCGCCAGCAATTGTTCTGACATTGGCGACGTCATATTCGTTCACTGAGACGTAAATGATCCGGATGCCAGCTTTTCGCATCTATAATGATAGTACTGATAAATGACTTTGATAGCGCTTTTGGAAGCGGCGCTGTTTGCTCAGAAGCAGGTAAGCTTGTAATGCTGATCGCTGCCAGAAACCTGCCCTGGAGGATGACCAAAATACAACATGACGGCAGCTCAGTACCTAAATTGAGCTCCACTTTATCCAACCGAAACAACTTTTACTCCTGTTGGCAATGATAAAGTAATCGGATACTCGTGTCGTGACGTTGCGGAGATGAATCGAGTTATGTTTGAACATATGGGAACGGGTCCATGAATCATTCCTGAGCCATCGTAACTTGCAGCCTCGTGAAATGAGTAATGAGTATTTTACTCGCTTCGGCAATGGATAGTGCAGAACACGAGGCAGATAAGCTGAGTTTACAGACAAGTGGCACTTTCGCAGTGGATACCCTTTTGATCAGGTGGTATCGTTCGATTCACTTAAAGGCAGCGATTACGATAAAGAAGGAGCGCATTCGCGGTACGCATATGCACCACACGAATCAGTTACTTGGCTGTCAGGGAAGCGAGGTGTGGCGCTTCACGACAAAGGTTCGCTGCTGGTTGCTGAGCAGGACTTCGAAAGCACTCCGTCCAATCGAAAGCGATCACTAGTTGACTTGGCGATCTGGACGAGTTGCGTTGCCAGCAGCGGCACAACTGAAGCAACTCGAGTGGAGCGTAGACTGGCATGCTGTCAGCACGCCAGTTGCAAATAGAACTCTTACGTCCGCTTTTGAGCCGTCACCTGTGGATGAAGTGAAACACGCCAAAAAGGGATCCCATGTTGCGGGTTTCGTTTGATGCATTTCTCCGCTTGTTCGGCCACTGACCATTGAGCAGACCAAGTTTCTATCAAACCTTCTTTATGATATATCCTTTACTGATCAACTGTCAACCTAATCACTTTCTTTAATCGAAGTCGCATTGACAGACGACATGGCCTATATGTACGATAAATTGCCAGGACTAGCAAATGTGTAGGTCAGTATTTTCATCACCCCAGACGAGAATGGCTAACTGATCACCCTAAAGGAAGTGTTGCGGATTGGTAGGTCCAGGAGAGGACCTGCGGATGGCCAAAGGGTGGAAACGAGATACTCACTACCTGAGATGTCGGTCAGAATCTGAGATTGCATGCGCGTATGACCAGTGCCGGGGCGACGCGATCGCTCCATCGCTTGTCCATCGCGATGCAATCGCTCTGCCTAGAGCGACTGCGTCGCGCGATCCAGTCGCTCTGCTTAGGGCGATGGCATCGCGATTGCGCAATCGCTCTGCCAAAGAGTGGAGCGAACGAGCTGTTGGCCCGCCGCCGCGCCACGATCGATATGAGACAGCAGTGCGCAACTTCCCCCTGCCAACCGATATTGATCGTGGGCGGAGGTGGCGGGGCCAATTCGCCCGTCGCTCCCACTCTTGCGCCGAGCGATTGCATCGCGATGGACAAGCGATGGAGCGATCGCGTCGCTCCGGCACTGGTCCATCGCGATGCAATCGCAGAGTCTGACCGACATCTAACGTGGGCTCTAGAAACCAAACCGTACAGGTCCCGCGGTGACACCTAATTACAGATGAACTAGGGTATGAGAAAGACCAACAAACTGACTAGAATGTAATTACCCGTTGAACATAGGACTTGTGGGTTTTACCCTTTCGCTGCAGTACGCGAACACAGGACTCCAAAATCCACAGGACAGGGTTTTCTGAACCGTTAAAAAATTTTTAAATGTAGTACTCAAACACTTCAATTGTTAGTAACGATAGAAAGAAGAAATAAGACTCACGCTGGGTCGCCTT